TGTTGGGCCTGCAGCGGAGGAGGAGTGGTAGGGGCTGAGAGCAACCCCTGCAGGCCTCCAGACGCCATCTCAGTGAGGTCTGCTTTTATTCATGTCCACACCCTGTATCTGAAGCTCTGCCACCATACCCGTCAGGAATCCAAGGGGACCTCTCCAGGACATGGGTCCCCTGCTCTGATAGTTGTGAGACCCACTGCTGCTGCCAGGAGGCCTGGGGCCGGACCCAGCCCATAACCCAGTGAGGGGGCTCATGCTCACCCTGGGGACCCAGGCTGCCCTGAGGCTTCCCTGCTGTCATGCGGGACTTAGGGGAGCCCCCTCCCACAAGTGTGGACCCCTATCTCCAGCTCAGCCATCGATGTGTTTCCGTCCAGGCCCCCAGGGCTTACACACACACCCGCACACATGCACTCCTTCCTTTGCAAGGGGGTGGACAGTCCCCAGGGGGCAAATTTGAATGGAAGATGGTACTTCAGAGACCTGTTCCCTCCCTCTTCATTCAAAAAGTAGCGTGTGCGCATGCTCTGCAAGCCCTGGCTTTATCCAGGTCATCTTTTTCTGATTCGGGACACAAAGAGCTTCTTCATCCCTTTATATGGCTGCAGAGCACCCCTGCAAAATTATTTTCAGTTTGGGGAGGGAGATAGGTTTCTAATGAGATAATAAATGACACGCACCATGTACCCCCCTCCCCATGGATTCTCCCAAGGGGAGCCCCAACGTAACACTGGTGCCCCAGACAACTGGAGGGCCAACCAAGGAACCCCTCAGCAGGGGCACGGGGTGGCAGGAGGTGTCTGGGAGGCAGCGCCCAGGGACCCTCCAGGGCCCCAGGCAGAGGGGGCGCGGCCAGGCGGGCGGGGTGCGTGGCGGGGCCGGAGCCTCAGCCTCCCAGATGCCCTGACCTGCGCGAGCACGTGGAAGCCGGAGCTTAGTGGCAGTTTAATGAGACACACAGGTGTTTACGTGCAGAAGGAGAGGAACCAATTAGACACAGACGCGCCATCTGCTCCAGCAACCCCACTCCTGAGCACGCCCCCGCAGAAGTGCAGGCAGGGACTTGAACAGACACGCGCAGGTCACGTTCACACCGTGAGTCGCTGCCACACCCCGAAGGCACCGGGCACCAGCCGTCCCAGTGTCCGTGCACCCGCGAGCGGAGAAACAAAATGTAGCGGATCCACAGAATGGAATGTTATTCCGCCTAAAAAAGGAGGGGACATCCGTCACACGCCACAGCATGGCTGTGCCTGAAGGCATTATGTGAGTGAAATAAGCCAGTCACAAGAGGGCACATCTGTGTTTCACTTCCGTGAGGTCCCCAGGATCATCAGGTTCAGAGACAGCAGGTGGAATGGTGGTGCCAGGGGCTGGGCAAGGGGAGCTAGTGTTTCATGGGCAGAGCGTCAGTTTGGAAAGGTGGAAAAGTTCTGGAGGTGGATGGTGGGGAAGGCGTCACAACAGAGGCACCGTGGGGGGGGGGGCATATCTGCCAGAACTGAGCCAGATACCAGGGACCCTCGCTCACCCTCCACCGTGGGGCTTCCAGGGAAAGGGAGGATGAGACTCTCCAGGGTTGATGTGGATGGAGACAAGGGTGTCCAAGGACTAGAGAAAATGAAGGCCAGGGGTTCCTGGGGTGCAGATGTGTGTCAGGGAGTGGGGGGGAGCAGGCTGACCAAATGAACAATGCATGCCTGCATAGTCCCTGAAGGGACTAGCGGATGAGCTTCTGAGACCCTGAGTTTCCTCACAGGTTCCTGGTGTGAGTGGGGGTGCAAGGCAGTGTGCCCTCTAAGACCACCCAGAGCCTGCTGCCAGTGGCCAGCCCCCCATGTCTGCTTGTTTCTCAGTGGCCAGCCCCCCCATTTCTGCTTGTTTCTCAGTGCTGGATTCCAGGGAAGAATGGGGCTTGTGCCCCCTGGCAAACCCCAGGAACAGCCTGCCTGGGCAAGAGAGCAGCAGGGAGAGAGAGACCCCAGGAGGGACCCCTCATGGCTCCCTGCCCACCGGGGTGACAGAGTCTGGACTCTGCTCTAAGAAGGAAACCCCTTCTTCTGCTCCCAGAGACCGAGAGGGTCAGCTGCAGAGAGAGTGGGAAAGAGCCTGGAGCAGAGAGATGCACGTGAGGACCAGCATGGCTACAGCCCACATCTGCCCCCAAAAGCCCCATTTCCCCAGGCCTGTGTACTGCAGGTGGGGACAGATGCCCTTCCTGTCCCCACAGATGCTAGACCTTTGCCCCTCAGTCAGAAACATTGTTCACCTTTCCCCAGGTCTGGACCTGATTCAACTTGGTGACCCCAGAGGCCCACATGGGGAGGATGAGGGGCTATAGAATAGGGACTCGAGGGCGCCTGGGTGGCTCAGTTGGTTAAGCGACTGCCTTCGGCTCAGGTCATGATCCTGGAGTCCCGGGATCAAGTCCCGCATCGGGCTCCCTGCTCGGCAGGGAGTCTGCTTCTCCCTCTGACCCTCCTCCCTCTCATGCTCTCTGTCTCTCTCTCTGTCTCAAATAAATAAATAAATAAAATCTTTAAAAGAAAAAAAAAAAAGAATAGGGACTCGAGCTCGGGACAGAACAGCACAGTTACCCAGGGAAAGCAGGGCCCTGCCCCACCCCCACCATCTCCTCCTCTGACAGCGTGAGAGCAAATATGGATGCCCAGGATGCCCTGTCCACGACTGGCATGAGGTCTGAGCCCAAGGCTGCTCCTGCCAGGAACAGCAAGGCGACCCACTAGATTCACTTGGCTGGAGGGAGGCCAGGTCTGGGGGGTGGGGGAACTCCAGACCAGCCACGGCCACAGGGCCACCCACTGGAACCAGCCTGGCCACACTGGGCAGCACAGGCAAGGCTGGGTCTGCAGGTCAGGAGGGGGGGGCCCCGGGCCTGCCTCTGGATATGGGCATGGCTAAGGGGGAAGGGCTCCGAGCCCAGGGCGCAGGCCATTTAGCATGCAAGCTCTACCATGGGCCTCAGCTGCCCATGGGGCTAGCAGCCCTGAGCCCTGGCCCTGGGGGTGTCTAAGCGAGCCAAGTCCCTGCACTGGGGTCTGCAGGGGCACCCCTGTCCTGGAAGCCTGGGGTCAGGGAAGTGCCACTAATGGGCATTTTTCTGGACCAGAACGTTTGAAAAGGTCTGGGTGGGGAGAAGGGTGGGCGCACACACACACACACCGACCTGAGGGCTGGGGGGGTCCCAGGGACGCAAGTGTCTGCCATCAAGGTGTTGGGGCAGGGGGCCGAGCTCCCCCAGCCTCGACAGGCCTCATGTACACAAGTCAGCCACCAGCCCTGGGCTGGCTGTGCAGCTGCATCTGCAGGGGCAGGACTGGACCCGCTCCTTCCCTGGACGGGGCAGGGGGCAGCACAAGCGCCTGCAGCGGAGGGGAGGGGCAGGCGGCAGGTCTGAAGCTGGGCGGTAGCTCCTGGTCCCTAAGGCAGGGCTCTGACAGCGCCCCGGGGGGCTGCTGAGGGGCAACAATGTTTCAATCATTATTATCCCCAGAGGCTTCTCACAAGCAGCTCTGGCCTGCGGCGGCGGGTGGCGCGGGTGGCAGGGGGCACCCCTGCTCCTTAATAGTTCTGGGATCCCCCCCGGGGCTCTCCTGGGAGCAGCTCTGGGTCTGCTGCAGCGGCTGGGGTGCGGCGGTGGGGGGTGTCCAGAGCCATAAGCACCCAACAGATGGAGCCTGTCTGAAAAGTGACTTTGGCCCTTTATGGGGAAGGGCTGTGGGGAAGGGCTGGGGGCAGCCTCCTCTGGAAACTGAGGGTGGCTCTGGGAGAGGCGAGGGTGCACAGCTCCCTAGGAATTGAGGCAGGACAGCACCTCTTGGTGGCTGGGGCTTCAGAGAAGTGTCCTCGCAGCCAGCCCTGAGGAGACCGAGCCAGGTACCGTCCTAAACGCTGGCAGGCACTGGCTCCTGATGGCCAAGACATCCTGTGAGGATTCTGAGGCCCAGAGGCCCAAGAGGGGGCTGGTCCCAGACGCAGAGGGGGAAAAGGAGCCAGGCCCCGGGCCCAGCTGGTCTCACCCCATAGCCACCTCTCACCTCTGCTACAGGTGGCCCCAGAGAATGTCCCACGCACCTGCTGACAGTCAGGGAAATGACCCCCGGCACGCCAAGGGAGGGGCCCAGGCATTGAGCCACGCGTGCAAATAGCAGGCGGGCTTGCACCCTGGACTCCAGGTCCAACCCAGCCCCCCGCCCCTGCCCCCGCCCACTTTCCCATTGCCCCCAGGAAGGGGGAAGGGGCTCTCAATACCCCTTCAGGTCTGTGGCCTGCAGAAGAGGAGGGGTGTCCCCAGAGAGAGAGCCGGGGGGCTGCCAAGCTGTCTAGAGGGTAGAAGGAGCCAGGAAGGCAGGCCCCAGAGGCTCGGTCACAGGAAGCTTCCCCACTCCTCCACCGGCCTGCTCCCCAGGGCAGGGGTACCCCCAGGTCAGGGAAGATAGGGCAGGGGATGGGTGGTGGCTGGAAGGAGCCCTGAGGAGGTGAGGGGATGTAGGCAGGAATAGCACACTCCAGGCAGAGGGCATGACCAGGACAAGAGCCTGAAGTGGGAGCGAGCTCTGGAAGGCCAGTGCGGCTGACTCAGGGTTGCAGGTGACAGGTGAGTGATGGGCAGCTTAAGGATCCAGGATGACAAGCTCCTGTGGCCAAGTGGCCTGGGCCTGGTTCCCACAGGCTCCAGAGGCGGGCGGGGAGAGACTTGTCCGGCGCTGCCGCAGCCCGGGGCCAGGTTCGCCGGCCGCACTGCTCACGCCAGCAAGCCAGGCCAGGGCGGAGCGGCACAGGTGGACAGGAGGCCCCCACAATGACTTCCTGTCCCCCAGGCCCCTGAAGTCAGGGAGGGAAATGGCTGTCCCTGGCCTGATGCCTGGCACTGGGGCCGGTATGAGGCCCATTGTTTAAGGCTGGAGCTGGGGGGGGGGGGGAGCCGGGGCCCAGGGGCCTCCAGGAAGCCCCCGGATTGCCCTCTGTCCCACTTCCCACAGATCCAGAGCCTGAGCAAGAACCGGAGCAAGCAGACCCGGCAGACCCCAGCAGGATGAAGGCACCCGTGGCTCTCCTGCTGGCCCTGCTGCTGTGTGGGCAGCCAGGTACCCGGGCAAAGGGGCACCCATGCAGCGAGAGGGGACAGCACGGTCTGGGCCTATGGGGACCCTCGGGACACCCAGCCTGGGGGCAGGACACGGCATGGGGTGCAGGGGGGTCAGGCTGGAGTCTGAGGCCGGAGGGACGTGGACGTGGGCTGTCCTGGGCTCCCGCAGGTTCCCAAACCTACCCCTCCCCCAGCTCCAGACCCCACCTCTTTGAAATGCAGGCTTCGGGTTACCTCTTCTGTCCCGGCCTCAGTGTCCTCTTCTGTCAAACAGGCGGGCCATCCTGAGGGTTTACTGGGGCGGTGGCGGGGGGAGGCAGCTGCTGCAAAGGGTGATGGTGCTGGGAAGCAAGCAGGGCCAGCAGCTGGGGCCCCTCTGGGGGACAGAGTGGGGAGGAAGAGGGCGGAGGAGTGTCGAAGGACAGATGGAAGGGGTGGGACACAGCACTGGGCCTGGAGCATGTGTGCTCTGTGCCCGGGAACTGGGGGGTTACAGGCATCCCTGTGTGGCCAGGCACCAGGCAGGCGCAGGACGAGGAGGAGGAGGAGGACGACGTGGACTTTGGGCCTGAAGGCTATGACGATGATGAGGAGGAGGAGGAGGAGGCCAGTGTGGCTGCAGGTGGCAAGGGCAGAGGTGATCGTCCACCCCCACCCGAGGGCACAGGCACCCATCCCTCTTTTGCAACACTTTGTGTGGGCTCCGCTGAGTGCCAGGCTCGGCGCGGGGCTGGCATGAGGCAGAACAACAGGCAAAGCCTTCCGGGGGGCAGAGGAAGGGAGAGGAAGGGCCCTGACGCTCAGCACCCCCCTCACCTCACCCTGGCTGTGACCTTTGATGGCCATCCAGAATAGGGAGCCTAGAGAAGGAACCACTCCCGGGCAGGGAGGCTGAATAGAAGTTCACTAGGCAGAAAGGGGTGCAGTGGAGTCCCTGCCTGGAGAGACCAGCAAGTGTAGAGGCCCTGGGCATGGAGTCCAGCTCAGCCAGACAGGACGGTTGGGTGCTGGCAGGGCAGGGCAGAGCTGACCAGTCCTGAGGAGGGGTGCAGGGAGGCTTGGGCAGAGGCTTATGGAGGGATCAGCTGGGAACAGAGCACAGGCCCTGTAGGGGGAGGCGCTGGGCTGCAGGGGGAGGCTCTGGGCTGCGGGAGGAGGCTCTGGGCTGCAGGGGGAGGCTCTGGGCCCGCAGGGGGAGGCTCTGGGCTGCAGGGGGAGGCTCTGGGCCTGCCGGGGGAGGAGCTGGCCTGCAGGGGGAGGCTCTGGGCTGCAGGGGGAGGCGCTGGGCTGCAGGGGGGGGCTCTGGGCCTGCAGGAGGAGGCTCTCGGCTGCAAGGAGAGGCGCTGGGCTGCAGGGGGAGGCTCTGGGCTGCAGGGAGAGGCTCTGGGCTGCAGGGGGAGGCTCTGGGCTGCAGGGGGAGGCGCTGGGCTGCAGGGGGAGGCGCTGGGCTGCAGGGGGAGGCCCTTTGGCCTGAGCCCCCTTGCCTCCCAGGGCTGCTGCAGTGTTATGCCTGTCAGTCCCTGTACATGGGGGAGCCCTGCAAGCAAGTTCAAAACTGCGTCCACGGCCACAGCTTCTGCAAAGCCGTCATCTCCCACAGGAACACGGGTGAGCAGGCCCCGCGGTGGCCAGGGCAGGAGCTGCCCCACCTCCCACGCAGAAAGGTGTGCACCCCAGTGAGGGGCCTCCTCCCTGCCCCAGCCTGTTCAGCGTGACGAAGCCTTTCTCCCCCGCCCCTCCTCCCTCCCAGAGTCGGATCCTCTGACCACCTACTCCACATGGTGTGCAGACACGTGTCAGCCCATCACTAAGACACTGGAAGGGACCCTGATGACCCTGACCTGTTGCCAGTCCACTCTCTGCAACATCCCACCCTGGCAGGACCCCCCAGGCAACGGAGCCGGTAGCCCCCAGGGCAGCCCCACGATGGTGGCTCTCCTGCTCAGCCTCCTTCCCGGCCTTCCGGCCGTGGGGTCCTGAATGCGTGGTCCCACCCCCACCCCACTCACACCCTGGATGGCCAGCACTCTGCCCAGTGCCTCACCCACCTGGCTCCCGCCCCAGCTTTGATGAATAAATTTATAGCATCTTTAACGGTCCGGCCAACACTGCCCCGTCTGCATTTCCTATTTCCTGGCTGGCTGGCATCTTTAGCCTCCTCCTCTCCCCACCGCCTGTGGCAACACACTGGCCCCAGGTCCAGGCCGCGGCTGCTCACAGGGCGGGTCCACACAGCTGGGTAGAGAAAACATGCATCCTATGCCAGGGGGAGTCGGCCACGTTCTCTCCCCTCCCCTCCCCCCCCAGACTGTTGCCTGGGTTCCTGAGAAGAGGAGTGGGCAGTGGGAGGGCTTGGGAAAGGAAACCCAAGGGTGCCCAGGGCCCGCTCTGGTCAGGCCGGCACCACTGGGTGCTGGGGGCTCTCTGCCTTCCTGGCTGGTGACAAGACAGAGCCCTGGGATAGGAGAGAGGAGGCCTGGGTCTGGGCCTCAGGTTCCCCATCAGAGCAGCATGGAACAAGGCTCAGAGGACCCCTCAATCCCCACCAGCCCAGCAGCCCAGAGTCCTACCCTGCCTGTCAAGCAGCTGCAGCAGGTGGGGTAGCCTCCCACTCTCCGCTTCCTTCTTTCCTTAGTAAAGAAAACCTCAAGGCTAGCTGGGGGGCAAATCCCCGGGGTAGAGGAGACAGGTCTGTCTTCTTCTCCTTCCTCCTCCTGCCGGCTGCAGTGATGTCTGCGGCTCAGCAGCCACTTCGCACCATGAGGCAGCACACTGGGATGGCAGAGCAGCAAGGAGGAAAGGCAGAGATCATGGTGACCAGGAGCCATTATACCAGCCCCACACTGCCTACCTCGGTACCCCATTCCTTGGGAGGGAAATAAATGGCTGCAGAGTTGAAGTGAGTCATTTCTCTGTCACTGCTTCTTCACACATTGTCACACACACCGGCTCCTGTAAGTACATACACTCTCATGTTACTCCCGCCGGTGCACGAACTCATGGTCACACACGCTCACCCACACAGATAAAAGCAGAGCTCGGGGCTCACCCTGTCTGGGTTAAAATGTTAGTTAAGCCCTTGCCCCAGCTCCACGACCGCATGAACGCCATGCCCCACCAGTTCCGTGACCCAGACGAACCCCTTCACCTCCCCCGAAACCCCTGCCCCAACTGGGTTTCCTTGTCTGCCACGTGGCAGGGTAGGGGGGCCCTCCTGGGAGGACCAGGCTCAGTGAAGACCGACAAGCGCTACGGGGGAAGAGCACCAGGCCTGAGCCAGAGGTTGGGAGAGGCCGGATGAGGGCCAAGATCCAGCTGGACCCCCAGGCCAAGGCCAGTCTGACGTGCCAGGGACGGTCAGGACATTCTAGGCCAGTCCCAAGAAGGAACTGCCGGAAGTCAGGAGGTGGTCCCGCAGGGCTGCTCCCTCTCATCCAGCCCGGGAAGCACCTCTGCACCCACCCGCACAGCGGGCCAGGGAGTGTGTCCAGCTGGATCCCTGCCTCCATGTCTCATGACTGCGGTGACACGTGACCACACAGTGGCTCACAACAGCTCAAACGTATCCCCGTACGGTTCTGAAGCTCAGAAGTCTGAAATGAAGGGCTTTGTTCCTTCCGGAGCCTGTGATGGTGCGTTTTCTGTGTCAGCCTGACTGGGTCGAGAGAGGCCCAAATGATTTCTGGGTGTGTCTGGGAGGGGGTTTCCAAAGACATTAGCATTCGGGTACAAAGATGGCCCCTGCCAATGTGGGGGGCTGCACCCCATCCACTGAGGGCCCAAACGGAACAACAAGGAGGAAAGGGCAAATTCACCCCTGGAGCTGGACCTCCATCCTCTCCTGCCCTGAGACACTGGAGCTCCTCGTTCCGAGGCCTTCAGACTCCAGTGAATCCCACCCCCAGCCTTCCTGGGGCTCCAGCTTGCGGACGGCAGGTACAGGACCTCTCGGCCTCCACAGCCACGTGAGCCAATCCCTGTGCTTGCACTCACAGATCCCGCTGTACATCCGCCTGGCTCCGCGTCTCTGGAACTCTGGCCCCTCACCACCATCTGCCTCAAATCTCCCTCCACCTCCCTCTTATCAAGGCCTTTGTGGTGACATGGGGCCACCACCCAAGCAAGGACAATATCTTGTCCCAAGACCTTCAACCCCATCACGTCACCCCTTCACCGCACGAGGCCACACATCTCCAGGCTCCAGGGATCAGGCCTTGGAAGTTAGCCAGTCATTACTGAGCGTCACCCACCGCCCAACGTCAGAGCCCCCAGCCGTTGCACGTCTGGCCGTGTGCTGGGCCTTGGACCCAAGGACGGTGAGCTCGCTGGTCACAGGGGCCACAGCCCAGAAGTCAGGCGTGGCTCTCAGCCCCCGCGTGGCCTCTAGCAACACTCCTGCCATCCAGACACGATTCAGATGCCCTTTGCCTTTGCCACTACTAGATTCAGGCTCCTAGAGAGCTGCGATTTTTAAGATGGAATCTATGATGGGCATGTGGGGGAGGGGAGAAAGACAACCCATCCAGTGAACGGACGGGCTCCCCCACACTGCATCCACAGGCATGGCCTCCCTGTGCCTGCAGGCTGCGGTCACCCTCAGCCTGCGGTGGCAGATTGCCTGGGCTGAAGTGCCTCGAGGCAGGCAGTCCCCCAAGTCACACACACCCTTCCCTCTACCCGATGCGCCAATGCCCCACACCACTGTGCCCGGCGCCCTATGGTCCCCCGGCTGTCGCAGAGCTGGACGTGGTGCCTGATTCCAACTCATGGGACAAATTCTAACCACACCTCCCTCCCCCCGAGTTCTGACCAGCTGGGGACACAGGCACACAGACCCCCCAAGGAAGATGCAACTGAGGATGCAGGGCCCCAGGCCGGGGGGTGAGGGTGGGGGTGGTGCAGGCAGATCCCAGGAGCTGCAGGAGAGACAGAGGCAGAGCCAGAGGGTGACAGGCCTCCCCAGAAGCCACTCCCCCTGGAAAGGTCGCTCACCCTCCCTTGGAAGCAGGTGTCTGGGGAATGAGGCTCCTCCCTGGTATGGGCCCGACTGGTTGTCTCTTAACCCCCTGAACTCAATGTGCACACAGAGGGGCAGGTCAAAGCCTCGCCCTCCTGAGCCCCCCATCCTTGCCTCTGTGCTCTGCCATCTCCTCCCCCAGGGCTCTGAGACCCGCTGCCAGCCTGGCCGCACCCTGGCAAAGCTCACTCCCTCCCCGTCTCCATCTCCCCCCCACCAGAGGGTGTGCAGCCCACTCCCATGAAGCAAAGACGATCACGCAGCACCCTAGACTTTGCAGGACCTCAGGCTCGCTAAGTCCTCTATTAAGCCAGGGCGCTCAGGAGCCTGGTGAAAGAGCTACGTGCCCCTCCTCAAATCTCGCTCCTCCAAAGCTTCTGTCTTTTGGCTGGAGGGCCCTGCTCTGGGCAGCAATAAATCAACCCCTACCTAGAGCGGGCTGCATGCCCATCTCCATATTCCAGCTGAGAAGCAAGATGAAGGAAGAAGCAAACACCTGCTGGTGTCACCCCTCCCATGCCCGCCCTCCCCACAGCATCACCCCACCCATGCCCGCCCTCCCCAAACCCGTGCCCGCCCTCCCCATGGGGTTACTGCACCCATGCCTGCCCTCCCCATGGCATCAGCCCGCCTGTGCTTGCCCTCCCGATAGCGTCACCCCACCCATGCCCGTGCCTGCCCTCCCTATGCCTGTGCCCGCCCTCCCCATGGTGTCACCCCACCCGCCTGTGCCCGCCCTCTCCACAGCATCACTCTGCCTGTGCTCGCCCTCCCCAATTCCCCACGGCATCACCCCACCCATGCCCATGCCCGCCCTCCCCAAGCTCGTGCCCGCCCTCCCCGTGGTGTCACCCCACCCATGCCCACATTCCCCACGGCGTCACCCTGCCCCATGCCCGCCCTCCCCACGGTGTCACCCTGCCCGAGCCCACACTCCCCAAGGCTCCAATGCGGGGTGCCCTCCCCCATCTGCACTCCCCTCCTGGATGTCCGGACTCCAGCAAGGGCCTCCTCAAGGCCAAACTCTGTGTTCTACCAAGAAGAGACCTTTGCTCGCTTTGTCTGGATCAGTCTGCAGTGTATTCAGCAGCAAGGAACAGAAAATCCATCTAACTGTACGTAGAAAAAAGACTTGGCTTTGGATGCATCACCAGGGCCTGGGGAGCATGGGCGCAGCAGCCAGAGCAGGACGGGGGGGGGGGGGGGGGGGGGGGGGGGGGGGGCCCCGCCCGTGGCCTTTATGAGCGCATGTGGTAGCCAGGTCCTGCTGGCCTCCTCGGTCCTTGTCCATCTGTCCACCAGGGTGCTCAGTGACCGGCCAGGGCCGCTTGCGTGGCCTGTGTCCCCACGCAGTCTGCAGCGGCAGCGGCCAGCCTGCCCAGGAGCGCCGCGTTCTGCACACAGACCTCTGTGAATGGAGACAGGCCTCTCCCTGCCCACTTCAAACCCTGAGCAAACCCCGCACCACCCCGATTCCCCAGGGTGTCCCCTGTCCCGCAGAGTTGGTGGTTTCTATGGTGATTCGGCTTGAGCCAGCCTCAGGCAGATCCCGCGGGCACGCACCACGGAGGGCCCGTCCGACGTGAGGGTCTGGGGGCCTCACAGGGGTCTTTCCCACCGCAGCCTGCTGGCAGGTGCGCAGCCCAGGCCCACCCAAATGAGAAAGTTAATCAAAGGAAACCTCACCAAAACACAAGTCATGAGCCTGGGCAGCGGGAGCTCTCAGCCCCTCCTACTCTCATCACGTACAAATCCGACGGGAAGAGAGGCGCCTCCCCCGCCCTACTGCTTTCCCCGCTCCCGCACTCCCTGCTGCGCTGGAAGAGGGGAGCTTTCCTCCGCCCCTGGCAACAGCCCAGCCAATGAGAAGCCAGCACACTCCCAGCTCCCCGTTTAGCTCAATGGGCTTTCAGTCGACAACAGCCCCTCCCAGCTCCCCCTCTCCTGTGGGAGAGCGCTTTGCTGTCCTTCGCCCCGCAAACCTGCGGTGTTTTGCTTGCCCCGGCTTGCAATTCTCCGCCGTTCCTCAATAAACCCATTCTTGCTGGTAAAATGACTAGAAGTTTTATTTTCAAGGTTAACACGTGCAGAGGCCCCACTTCCGCGCTGGAATCAGGATCGTGGCGCCCATCCCCCACCCCCACCCCCGCCCTCGGGAGGTTGTGGCATTTGGGGGTGCTGGAGCCTGACACAGCTGTCCATCATCAAAGCAGCAAAAATGTTCAGCCTCCGCAGGAATCTAGAAGTGGGCATACAAGTCAGCGAGGCGTCTGGGAGGGGCTGTTAGCAGCACGGGGGCGGGGGGGCTAAGCCAGCACACCCTTTGACCCCGTGGTTCCCCCGAAGTCTGTCCTTCAGACGCCAGAGCCGCTCCTCTGGACAGGCCTCCGGCTCTGCTGGTGTCGCCTGTGGGTGGCAGTAGGCACTTGGGAGAGGTCCCCTCTTCTAGACTGAAAGCAGGGGGCATGAGGCTTCCAAGAGCCGGGCTTCCCCGTGGACAGGGAAGGACACGTCTGTCCCAGAGGCCAGTAGCTTAGGACAGGGAGAGGCTGCAGTTGGTAGACCAGCCTCCAGGCCTCGGTCAGACTTCAGCGGTCCTCACCCCAGGGCACTGCAGGTACTCGAACCCCCAGAGGATACTCCTCAAGAGCCTAATGCTGGAAACTTCTGGAGCTGGTGGCCCTGCCGCTTGGATGCTGTCGAGAGTCTCCCTGGCCTTTGTCAGTGTGCTTGGGAGCTGCTAAGAGGACAAGGAGCCCATGCAGCCCCAGGGCTGGCCCCTGGCCAGGCCTCAAGCCTGAATGGGCCGCTTCCCAGCTGTGTGATCTCCGCAAGCCACATGGCCTCTCTGTGCGCAGTGCCCTGGCCCACAAAGCCAGAGAAAAGCAGAACCCGTCTCCTAGGCTCCGTGTGCAGGCCGACAGGTATTGGCCGCCACGTGCTGGTGGTGCTCTAGTGACGGGGGTGATGGTGGTGGTCCCTGCTCGGACTCTCGGAGCTGGTCTTGGGGGGGCGGGGTCCAGGCTCGCTCAAGCTCTATCCGCCTCCCAGCACTGAGTCTGCCCACTCACCCTGCTCCCTTCTGCTCCCCCACAGCTGGCCCCTGACATGGAGAGTACAAACAGGCTGAGAGACTCCTACCCAAGCTGTCTCACCACCCCCACCTCGAAACCAGCCCCTGGGGCCACCTCAGGGCCCTGTGCACCCCCACCCAGTTCTGGCACTGGGAGCAAGCTCAGGAAGAATGCTCTGTTCCCTCTTCTGGGCCCACAGGACCTGCCTGCTGGAACAAGGGGCCTGGGGGGGAGGGCGCACACAGACACTCCCTGGGCATCCCGCGCCTGCAGCCTCCATCCTTCCCACGGTGCTGGGGCTTTTCCCGTCTCCTGCCCACCCATGGCCCCACTGGGTCAGCTGCCATTGTCCACTCTCCCCTTCCAAGATTGAGTCCTGGGGTGGTCTCAGGACTTCCTTTCTCCCAAAACAGGAAGCAGGTGGCCATGGTGCACTTCCTGTCCTTGTTCTCTCTGCGAGAACCAAGGATGAAGCACTGACCCAAAAGCAGGATGTTCTTGAGGATGGAGCTTGCTGAACACTGGCCCTCTAGTGACCAGTTTGCAGAAGCTGATGGACCCAGGACCCACCTGGAACCTTCCAGAAGGAGAGGAGTCATGGGCTCCCACCTGAGAGCTGGTGAGGGGTCCCATGTGGTTCAGTGTCGCCTGACACTCAGGCCTTTCAGCCTCAGAGGACGCTCCTGGCACAGAGGCATGTCCTGCCTGAGGATGCACCAGGGGGGCGGCTGGGCTCTGTGGTGGGGCTGCTGGGGTGGGGGGTGCCTGGCTGCAGGGTCTCAGAGAATGGGGGGCAGGGGGTGGGAATGGAGAAACACAGGAAAGCCTCCACACGGCTCCCCCTCCCCCCATGTCCTCATTCCTCCCAGAAAGAGCCTGAGCTGAGCAGTGAGTTGGAGGTATCTGTGCCAGGACTCAGTTCTCTTCCGGCTGCAGAGGACGCCCCCCCCCCCCCCCGGGGCCCAATCCCAGAAGCCCTGACCTGGGAGCATCCACTGATGAGCAAGCCTTGAAGGTGACAGCTGCAGGAAAGCCTTCCGTCCACGCGGTCACACAACCCTACAGTCACCAAGTGAAGCCTCGCAGGCACCGCACAGCCTCTGGGCCCAGGCCGGGCCTGACAGTGAACTTATGCTGCAGGGAAGCAGGGGGATGACCTGGGGGTCAGGCTTCCCTGGCCTGTTGTCACCCATGCAACCCCTGATAATTCACCTCCCAGAAGCCTGGCGGTGGGCACCTTCATGGTGCAGCCGGTGGGTGTCCGATTCTTGATCTCAGCTTGGGTCGTGAGTTCAGGCCCCGGGTTGGGCTCCGTGCTGGGTGTGGAGCCTAGTTAAAACTAAATATATATATATTAAGCCTGTCAGCAGATGAGCCTGGGGAAGGAGCCTACTTACCGCCCACCTTGTCACAAACTGTAGGCTCAAGGGGCCAGAGGTTAGCTCTTCCGGGTAAATGGGTGTGACCCATAATTGAGGAACATGCCCACAGGTAAGGAATCAATGTTTCTTGGAAGAATACGAAACCTGATGGCCTGACTCTTGGGTCTCCTCCTTGCTCCGCGTCCGAAGCTTCACTGAGACCCTGTGTGAGTCCCCACGACTGTGCTCTGGAGCAGCAGTTCTGGACCCCGGATGCCCAGAAGAATCATCTAGGGGCACTTTCAAATCATACCAATGTTAGGGGTCCACTCGCCCCCCCGCCACGAGGTGGGGTCTGGGTAGCAGTCTCTTAAGCTCTGCGGTGTTTCAGATGAACAGCTTGGGCTGAGCGCCCCTGCGCCAGAGGGGGCCTGCCGTCTGCTGCCCCGGAAACCTGGCTGACCGTTAGGATCACAGGGAAGCCTCTAAAATTATGCCTCACTAGGCTCAGCCCCACGTATTGCTTCACCAGCTCTTGGGTGGCACCTGAAAAAGAATTTTTTTAAGGATTCTAAGGTGATTCTAATTGACCGTTTTATGGTGGTCGAACAGCATCACACGCTACGGAGATATTGTTCATGAAAAGAAGAGTCGGTCACTGTGGCAAACTTCATTGTTGTCTTAAGAACTTGCCAGCGTGCGCCCCCCTGCCCCCCTAGCTTCCGCAGCCACCACCCGGATGAGTCAGTAGCCACCAACATCAGGCAGAAAGACGGACTCGCTGAAAGCTCAGGTGACTGTTAGCATTTTTAGCAAGAGAGTATTTTTTTGTAATAAAGGCATGTACATCGTATTTTAGACATAATGCTGCTGCAGGCTTAATCGACTAGAGCGTGGTGTAAGCATAACTCTGATTGCCACTGGGAAACCAAACGTTCATTTGACTCACCTCATTGCGTCGGTCTGGAGCCCCGCTTCCCTCGCCCTCCGAGGCGTGCCTGAGCCTGGTAAACATACTAATAAGGAGATGACATAGTATGTCAGAGACTGGAATGTGCTATGAAAAAAAACTGCCGGGCAGGGTGGGGGAGTCCAGAGGTGGGGGAATAGACCAACTGTGGTGTTACAGAGACTGCTGCCCTCCCCAAATGCAGGCGGCACCGGTGACTCGTTTCAAAACCACAATATGGCAGAGGTGACAGGATGTCAGTCCTGCAGTTAGGTCACGTTGTGTGTTGGTGACAGGAGGTCACTCCCATGGTTAGGCTGGCTTCTATGAGACTCCCATCTGAGCAGACCGGGGAGAGAGGCTCTCTTGCTGGCCCTGAAGAAGCAAGCAGCCATGTTGGGAACTGCCCATGGAGGGGGCCTCGTGGCAGGGAATGGGGGGGGCGACTAGGACGCAAGGCCAGCCTCTAGCCAATAGCCAATAAGAAGCAGGCCCTCGGTAGCACAGCCCCCAGGAAATGCATCCTGCCAACAAGCAGGGGAGTGTGGAAGCAGATTCTTCCACATTTGAGCCTCCAGCTGAGAACGCAGCTGGCTGACACCTGACTGCAGCCTGGCACGACCAAGCAGAGGACAGCTGAGCCATGCCTGGACGCCAGGATGCCTGTCCCACAGGAACTCAGGTAACAAACAGGTGTTGCTTTAAGCAGCTAAGTTTGTGGGAAGCAGGAACTGAATACACATAGGAAGGCAGGTGGGCTCCACCGAGTTGCTGAGCTCTCAGTGGGCAGGAAGTGGGAGTGCGCCAGGCAGCCAGCCAAGGATGAGAGTCCCAGGCGAGGGGGCACCAGTGCAACCGGACACAGGCCAAGTGCACGGGCTGTGTGTGAGGAGCAGTCCGGGGGCTGGAGAGGAGTGAGGGAGGGGGCAGGGGCGAGGGAGGGGGGCGCAGGGACGAGGGAGGGGGACAAAGGCAGGAGGGGGGGTGGGGAGAAGGAGGGCGCACAGGGATGAAGGAAGGAGGACAGGGCGAGGGAGGGGGCGCAGGGGCGAGGAAGAGGCGCAGGGGTGAGGGCGCAGGCGCGAGGGAGGGGAGGACGGGGCGGGGGAGGGTGGGCGGGGCGAGGGAGCGGCGGGCGGGGCGAGGGAGCGGCGGGCGGGGCGAGGGAGCGGCGGGCGGGGCGAGGGAGCGGGCGCAGAGCTGAGGGGCGGGGACTGGGGGGCGGGCCTTCCGGCGGGGGCGGGGGTGCCCGAGGAGGCCCTTGCAGAAATGGAAACGAAAGCCGAGCCGGGCGGAGCCATCCGCCGGCGTACCACCGAGAGGCCCGGGGCCCCTCTTCCTAGAGCGGCGCCGGAAGGGGCGGGCCTCCCGGCGGGTACCGCGGCCCGGCTGCTCGGCTGGGGGGCTGCGGAGCCCTGGCGCGGGGGGAGGGGCTGCGGCGGGAGGGTCCGTCGGTTCCGGGCCCCCGACCTCCAGCCAGGGACTCGCCGGTGCCCTCCGGCGTCGCTTGGGCCCGCCCCCCAGCCCAGGGCGGCGGCCTCCCCTCCTTCGCCTCCCGGGCGCTGCGGGCAGGAGGGCGAGGAGCAGCTCGGAGCGGATCGAGGTGAAGGCGGCGCCCCGGGGCCCTGCACGCTTGGCCGACGAGGCCCTGTCGTTGGCGGGGGTGCATCGTGCTGCCCGTCGGGGCCCCTTTCCTCGGCCTCGACACAGCTCGTGTTTGCTGGCAGGCGGGGGGCCCGGCGGACTGTTGGGGTGCATGTGTGCCTTTGGGTCCAAACCCGCCTGTAATGCAGGCTCCGCCTGAGACCCAGGCTTCTGAAGGCGGGGGGACGGGCCAGCTGAGTGGGGTTTCCAGGGACCCTGGCTGCGGGGCCACGCAGAGCTTGGAGTTCAGGAGGCCTGGCCCAGAGAGGAAGGGAGCTCCTCCGAAGTTGCCGCGGGCACAGCACCCCAGCCCTTGGGGCAGGTGGCTCGAGCGCCTACGGGCCTGTGGAGTGGGGGACCTCGGGTCCACTCCGTTTTTGACTGTTTTGTAACTTGGTGCTCTCTCTGCCGTCAAGCACCTGCCAGCTTGAGTTGGGCAGAGGAGACGAAGATCCGGAGTGATTCCTGAGCACCAGTTCGTGCTGGCTCTGGCCTTGTAGCTAGGGATGCAGGGGTGAAAGAGCCGTGGTCCTTGCCCTCAGTGCCGGTCCCGGCAGGACGCTGGAGCGCAGAAGAAGCCCACGCACGCCCTCCAGTCGGGGGACGCCTTCATACAAGTTCTTGGTTTTCCTCGGTTTACTACCGAAACTAGACACCAGCCTCTGACTCCAGTGTACTTGCCTGGTGCGGTGATCCTCTGCCCTCCCCAGCAGAGCCCCCCCCCCCCCCATTTCTGCATGCTCCTCGGCCCAGATGAGCTTCCTTTACCCTCGGTTCAGGCTCCCACCTGATGCTGAGAGCAGCCTCCTCCCAGAACCTGCCTCAAGTAGAGCCTTCCGGGCAACATAGGCCTGAATCCAGACCAAGTGTACCTAACCATTTTTATTTAGAAGAAGCCAGACTCAAATTCCTTGTCAGGATGGGAAATCTCGACAGTCATTTTATTATTGCCTCTGCATAGGGGAGAAGAGGAAAGCTGAAGTGTACCCTTTTGACTTTAAGAGAGTTCAAAGTATTTATACCTTAAAGCCACTTGGGGGTGCCTGGCTGGCTCAGTCCGTGGAGCCTGCGACTTGATCTTGGGGTCTTGAGTTCAAGCCCCAAGCTGGGCATAGAGCTTACTTAAAACAAAGAAAGCTACAGTGTTGTCAGGTACAAAAGTCAAAGACACACAGATTAAAATGTTGATGGTAAATAAATGGGATGGAAAAGAAAATTCAAAAAAAAATACATCACTGGGAATATTACCACCTAGGGCATCACATTTTGGGGTGGGACAGCCTGTCAGGGTTATGGGCCTCCTAGTAGATCAGGGTAGCCGTCACAGGCCACGAGATACCTTTGCTAAGAACGCTGTTTGCAGGGAATGTTGGAGGATCAGAACAGGACCTGCCTTTGGAGTTTTCTCTTTAAAAAAAGAAGGCTTCTCAGTGTTGTGGAGATCTCCCTCACTAGCAGTTAGAGTCTGAAGTTGCTCCAGGCTTGATGCTGGAATTCCATTAGTTAGCAGTGAGAGAAGACGAGGGCAAGGAAGCTCAGGAATAATACAGAAACGAAATAGAAGAGGGATCTCAACAAAGAACTAGGAGCTGTGTGGGCGATGCTCCTACAGACACCGGGGACTGTTGGGTCCTGTTTGAATTTGTGGCTGAATTGGGTGCTGTTAGGTGGAGTTAGGGACAGGGAACATCAGGTGTTTCAGAGGGTGTACACAAGATCTAGTTGATGGAGGAGTTGGCTTTGGTTAAGGGCCCCAGGGAAGACTAGAGCTTGGTTAGGGAACAGGGAGTGGGGGCAGTGTTTGGTGAGTCAGGGAGGCCTCCCTGAGAAGGGCCCATTCAGAGCTCTGAAGTGAGCGGCCAGCCCCATGAACACCTGCTCTTGGCCCATTTCTGGAATCAGCCAGGCACTGAGGCAGGAAGGACTGGGTATGTTTGAGGAGCCTAAAGGAAGCTGGAGGGGAGTGAGGAGTGGGCCAGGTCAGGCATGTATAGGGCTCATAAGTATGAGGGGAGCCACTGGGGGTCGGGGCAGGTACATGATAGGGGTTTGCTGGCGGCCATATGGAGGTGGACCATTGGAGGAGGGCTGGGGCGCCCCGAGTTTGATCCATCTCCGATCCAGGCTCTAGGTGACAGGAGCATAACCCCCAAAGGGGCACATGTGGGTCCTGCTGCTCCCAAATACAGCAAGTGGAGAAGGAGGGAGAAAATGGTGGGGGGAGAACCCCAATGTGGGGACCACACGGAGTTTTGGTCCATGGTCTGTATCAGACCCCACTGGACACAGGCCTGGAGACCCCATCCCCGGGCAGAGGGTTAGAGCGAGTGTTCCGTTTGGTCACATCCAAACAGAACAGGCTGTTTGTTGAGCCTCACTGAGAGGCTCATGAGGTGCCCAAGGGGAGCACACAAGCAGGGAAGGGGCCACGTTCCCTGTCCCCCCCGCCATCCGTCCCTTAGCCGCTGCACCACAGCTCTGTTCCTCCCGCATACCTGTGTGATCTAACCTTCATGGTCTGGCTTCTCCGGCAGCACGAGGATTGGTGGTGTCCTCTCTGGTGCAGACTTCCTGCTCCGGAGGTCTCGTTACAAGCTCAGAAAAATGAAGAGCTGTGACTAAAGGGAGAGCTTTTGGAAGAATAGGAGAGTCTGGCCCCTGGCCTTTCTCCTTAGCCCTTCCTGGATTCCAGTGGCCCTTCCTCTCTCCTGGGAACAAAGAAAGATGGAAAAGCCCACGGGCAAAAAGAAGGCACAGACCCCAAAGGAAGAAGGAGATTTGCTAAAGGACACTCCCAAAGGAGAGAAAGCATCTGGGGAGAAAAAGGCAAACAAGAGGTCCACTTTGGCGAAAAAGTACAGCAAGGAAGCCAGCCTGAGTCCTGAAGAAGAACACGTATTTGATGCCTTTGATGCTTCGTTTAAAGATGACTTTGAGGGGGTTCCCGTGTTCATTCCTTTTCAGAGAAAGAAGCCCTATGAGTGCGGCGAGTGTGGACGCATCTTCAAGCACAAGACAGACCATCTTCGCCACCAGAGGGTTCACACGGGAGAGAAACCCTTCAAGTGTGAGGAGTGTGGGAAGATGTTCAGGCACAGCTCCGATGTCCCCAAACACCAGAGAATCCACACTGGAGAGAAGCCCTTTAAATGCAGCGAGTGCGGGAAGGCCTTTAACTGCAGCTCCAATCTCCTAAAACATCAGAAGACGCACACTGGAGAGAAGCCGTATGAGTGCAAGGAATGTGGGAAAACCTTTGCCTACAGCTCATGTCTCATTCGCCATCGGAAGTGCCACCCACGGAAGAAGCACTGAGCGCGGGGAAGCTATCTGCCGAGACGCGGTGTTTGTGCTGATGGGAGCTGTCCCTCCTTCAGCATCTGATCGATGCTGGGGGTCCGTGAGCTCAGCGCACCTGTGCCCGGGCATCCCCCTCATCATCAGGAAAATCAACCCAGTGGGGTAAGCAAGTGCTTGAGCGTGGTAAAGACCTTTCTGGTCCAGAGCATCTCTGGATCAAGACACCATGATAATGGGGGAGGGGCTTGCGGCACGGGAGACTCTGGGGATATCGACAGTGCCTGTGGGGCTCGCGAGGCAGCAGCTGCTTGTGAGCGGCCCAGCGCCTCCCTCTGCGGCCTCCGCCTGTGGTGTCCACTGTGGTTTCAGCCCTCTCACCTGCTCCTTTGAAGACTTGAGTCTGCAGACTCTTGACCTGCCGGGTCATCCCTGCACAGCCTGGCAGGAGGCCCACGGCCCTGAGCTAGGTAGCGGTACTCTGCGGTCGCGCCCCCAGCGCTGCGCTAGACACCTGCTGTCCCCACTCGGCTGGCCATGGTGACAGTGGTTTGTGCTCTGGCGTCCCTCCTCGGGCTGCGGTGCCACCGCCATCCCCCACCCCATCCCCAGGAACTGCACCCTTTGTGCATCCCCCTGGCCTAGCCCCCATCCCAGGTGAGCGGCCTGACTCACCCAGGTGGATCGCTCGGGACCTACATACTGCCACCGTGGGAGAGTCCCGCCCTGGACATGTGGTGGAGGCCCCAAGGATGTGAGCACAGCTTCGAGCCAGGCTGCATCTGCCATGGGGGTCTTCAGACATGAGGCAGTGCGCCCTGCCCCCCTGGGGATCGGCTCTCCAGGTTAGTTTCACTTCCTCATGCCTGGCCCCCAAGTTCCATCTTATCCCCCGGGCAAGGCCACATGCTATGCCCAGCCCTGGTTTCCCCCGGGAGTGGTCTGGATGGGGCCCCGTGCTCTCAGAGTGGTGTGGTGTGTCCCAGAACTTCCCACAGTGTGAGGGGGGCCCGGTGACCGTCAACCAGGAGGTAATGGGGCTTTGTACTAGGAAAATGTTGATGCCTACACTTTCAGCTCTTTGGACCCCCAAGATAGCTTTACTCTTTGGGGATTCCGTCCTGCAAGAAGGTCCTGAATCGGGGGGAGACCCGTTTCGCCATCGGGGGTCACAGACGCCAGAGGGCAGAGGCTCCCGGTGGAAATGCTTCTCCAGGTTGGCAAGTGTTCGCTCCTGTTCTTTCTAAAAGCTGTGATGTTATGACACCTGAGCTGGACACCCCGCCCCCTCTCCCCAGCGCAGCGGGCCCTCCTACCTGATGCAGCTCGCCCTAGGTGTGGCAGGAGATCCAGGGGGACGCACAGTGGATGGTTAAGGACGTTACTGGGACATTCGGCAAACCTCGTGTCCACACTGTCCACTGGGTGGCAGAGCCGCATCAGTTTCCAAGTTCCTGCTTGGCTTGCGGCCCCCCGGCCATCCCAGACCTCGTCCTTGTCAAAGATGCTCCCTAAGGTTTTCAGGGACACAGGATCATGATGTCTGCATTTTACCGTCAAATGTTCAGCAGAGAAACAGAGTAACAAGACGTGTATCCGCACTGAGTGATGAAGCAAATTGAACCCCGAGTCAGGCTGGCAGACGTTTTCTGTAAAGGGCCAGATAGTAGCTGTTCTTGGCCCTGTGGCCCTAAGGCCTCTGTCCCCGCTCAGCTCCGCTGTGACATGCAACAGTAGTGAACACAGTGAATGAGCGCGGCCGTGTGCCAGCAGAGCTGTGTTTACAGAGACCAGCGGCGGCCGTGTTGGGCCTGTTGTAGGTGGAGGGCGCGTGAGAGTCAGCCTGACCCATGTGCGCTCGAGTCCTCCAGGACTGGCTGCGCGGGGGGAAGCCAGTGCAGGAAGCCGCAGGAAACCCTGGGAGGGCTGCAGAGGGGCTCCGAGCAGCGAGCCCTGGTGCCCACCTTGGGTGCCGGAGCGCAGGCTGTGGACCCGGCACGCACGTCCAGGGGTGTCTGCGTCCTCTTCGGCGTGGTTTCGTTTGTCTTTACTGCGGCCTTCTGACACACCAGGACGCGTGTGTTCCCGTGCAGCGTCCGCCGTGAGATCTGTATCACGTGTTACAGCCCGTTTCCCCGTTCCCACAGCGGCAGGCATGGTCTCCACCGCCGCCTACAGGTGCGGTGAGCAGAGGCTCACCGTGTCCTAATGGGCGTGTGGGCTGTTTCTGGTTTCGGGCGCTATAAATAATGCTGAGATAAATACCTTTTCTGCATTTCGGGCTGACAGGATGGGTCCCCAGACACGGAATGCCAGGTGGAGATCCTCGGGGCTGTGCGGGCTGGGCGCCCCAGCGGCACACGGACGGCAGGCTTGCCCTGGCCTCTCCGGCAGCAGGCAGGTGGGTCTTCATCATTGCCAGTTTGTTTGAAGAGAGGGAAACGCACTCTGACCCCATGGCTTTGGTTTCTAGAGAGGAAATGGGTGGTGAAGAACACAGGCTCTCGGGCCGGGGCTTAGCGACTTGAGCCGGTGCCTTGGCGATGTGTGACTTGGGGCATGTCCCTTAACCTTCTCATGCTGCCTCAGTTTCCTCAGGCGTGACATGGGGATGCTTAACCTGACTCAGTGAGTCAGCATGTGAAGTCCTAGGTGCAGGGCTGGCTCCTCCCAAGTGTCTTAAGAATGTCAGCTCTGGGGGCACCTGGCTGACTCGGTGGGTGGAGCTTGGAACTCTTGATCTCCGGGCCGTGAGTTCGAGCCCCACGTTGGATGTGGAGCTTCTTGCCATGTGTTTGTGTTCTTAGCAAGGCAGACATTTGCTTGTAGGCATGGGAGGTGGCCGTGCACGCCAACAGCCCTCAGCGCCTCTCCCAGGAAGGCTGCATCAGCCCGGAAAAGAGCCACAGAAAAATACTTTTTTAAAAAGTAAGATTTGGGGGCGCCTGGGTGGCTCAGTTAGTTAGGCGACTGCCTTCGGCTCAGGTCATGATCCTGGAGTCCCGGGATCGAGTCCCGCATCGGGCTCCCTGCTCGGCGGGGAGTCTGCTTCTCCCTCTGACCCTCCTCCCTCTCATGCTCTCTGTCTCTCGTTCTCTCTCTTCTTAAAAAATAAAATTTTTTTTTAAAATTATAAAAAAAAAAGTAAGACTTGGAAATTCTTTTTTGAACACAGTTTACCGTCATGAGAAGAATCACAAAATCAAACTGAAATCAGTGAGTGGCCTTTTCTGCCTCCCGTCGCTCAGGCAGCTTTGAGGGGTTTCTGTTGTTCTTCAAATAAAACTCCTGTTCTAGGAAAAAAAAAAAAAACCTTCTCAATAACCTGACTCAAATTAAAAAAAAAAAAAAAACCTGATGAGAGCTATAAAACACTCAGACCTCACTGACACTGAAAATAGGACTCGTCAGAGCTTCTCTGGGCCACTGAAGCCCACACGGGACGTGTAGCCCTAAGAGCTTTGGTCCCGTCAGCGGACGAGCTAGAAATCAGAAGCTGAGCCTCCGGCTTCAAAGTTATAAAAACAATAGCGTAACAAACGCAAAGTGGCAGAGAGGAAATAACAAAGAGCAGAGAGGAGCACAACCAGTGGGAATGGAGGCTGTCTCAGGCAGGAAAGCGGTGGACATTGGTTGTTCACAAGGACTGTTCAGGCTGACATCGCCCAGCAGCAGCGTCCAGGAAAAGAGCAGGAGCCACCGAACCATCACGAATGCAAAGGGGATGTGACAGCAGGTACGTCAGAGATCAGAAGAGACAAAACTCGGAGCCAGGGAACGTGAGCACAGATGAGGTAGGGAAGCCGGCCCGAGACCCCGTGCCCGCCGCACAGAGTGTGTCTGGAGTCTAGAGTCTTCCCCAAAGAATGCAAGTCCAGGTGGCGCACAAGTGAGTTCAAGAACCCATTCCGGTCCCCTACGGACTCAGAGATTGAAAAGAGGAAACACCTCACCTTATTTTATGAGCTGGGACAGCCAGGATGTCCGTGCTCTCGGCTGCAGAGGCTCCGAGCACGGGGCGGGCAAACCCCGTCCCGCAGGGCAGGAGCGGAGCGCGGACCGCGGCCAGATGAGGCCTCTTTCAGGAAGGCCAGTTTGGCTCAAAACTGATGTGATTTCTCACATCAACAGATTGGGGGAGGGGCATATTATCATCTGAATAGTTACCTGTGTGCCAGATTGCACCATCCACTCATGATAACAGACCTTCATAAATCAGGAATATAACAGAACTGTCTAAACCCCTACAGAACATCTCCCAGCACGCTGAGCAGCACTGCGGCCGAGGGTCCCGTGTAGCTGGTGTCCCCTCCGCCCGCAGAGCACAAGAGGGCCGGCCTCACAGCTCCCCCTGCGCCCAGAGCCAGACCAGGAGGAAGACACACGTAGGATTACGGTGGAAAACCCTGAGTGTGTTTCTCAGCAGGTGGTCCCACCGTCTATGCAGAATCTGAACACTGTCAGCAAGCACTGAAATGTAAGGGCTGAGCAAGGTGTCGCGAGAGGGTCAGGGTCAGGATCCCCGGAGGCCCAGGTGCAGAAGGGGAAGCAGGGGCTCATCAGGGAAGGTTTGTAGTGGGCACTCGCGGTGGCCGTCATGGATGCAGCTCAAGTGTCCCTCACCAGACGAACAGACACAGGACACGTGGCGCTGCCAGACTCGGGCACCGCCGCCAGCCCTGAGGGAGTGAAGACCCAGGCTGCGACCCGCACGAGCCTGAGCCTCCGAAGCCCGGGGCTGAGCGCCAGAAGCCGGCCGGGGACACTGCTGTGTGACCCGTTCGCGGGAGGGGCCGTGGCAGGGGAGTTTAACGAGGGCAGGGTTGCTGCTGGGAATGGTAAGAAGGCTCTGGGGGTAGGGCGTGGGGATGGGTACGTAGCGTGGTGAGTATTTAATGCTGCTAATTGTACACAAGCAGTTAAAATAATAAACACCATGTATATTTCCCCACAGTGAAAAAAGTCCATTGAATTTGTTGTGCTGTTAACAAAATGCAGTTTTAAAAAGCTATCAATTCACTTTAGCAACAAAAATAGCATTTCCTAGCAAGTTAAAGATGTGCCATACCGTGCTAGCCCAGAAATTTCACTCATTAAAATACTGTAGTGAGCTCTTTTACATGCGCAGTAATATAGTGCATGTGGAGTGTCAGAAAAATTGGAAATAACCCAAATGTGCATCAACAGTGAAGTGGGGCGGAGGGAGAGAGGAGCCCGGCCCCCCTTGGGCGGAGGGCAGGCAGGCGGGTGTCTGGGTCTTAAACCGCATGGACCGTGAGCGGGGCTTTGAGCTGCTCATGCATCACATCATATTCACCCAAGGTTTACATGCATTTGAAATGTTACATTTTCTAACTTTCTGAACTTTTGGGGGACATGAGCACTTTCCCCCTGGTTCTGTTGCCGTCCAAGTCTGGGGTGCATGGCTCGAACCCCTGCTGCCAGCGCTGGCCAGTCGGCTTCCACGGTGGGGGGTGGTGGGGGGAGACACACGTGTCCTCACGTGTGTACTTGGGGGGGGCGGGGGGAGACACGTGTCCTCGCGTGTGTACTTGGGGGGGCGGGGGGAGACACGTGTCCTCACGTATGTACTGGGGGGGTGGGGGGAGGCACACATGTCCTCACGTATGTACTTGTAGCTTCCCAGCAGCCAGCCGGGTAATAACTGCATTTCTTTGCTCAAAAGATAATTCTTGTCCTTTTCTGGCGTGAGAGCAGATCACCCCAGTCAAGAAGTTCCTGATGAAATGTGCCTAGAAGTGAACCTCCCAACTAACCCAACTGCCCCAGTCCTGAGCCCCGAGGAGGAGGTGAGGAGGCCCCTGGGTGAGCAGAGAGGAACCATCTGAGGGCCGGGCAGGGGCAACGGGGCCCAGACAGGAAATCCGAGCTGGGGGGGGGCAGGGGGGTGCCGCAGGTGGGCTGAGTGATGCCGCAGGTGAGCAGCGCCTCCCTTCTCCTTTCTCTTCCCAGAGCCCCGTGAAGGCAGCAAACTCCCCGAGCTCGAACTCCTGGTGGGGCCTTCCCCAACCTCTCCAAAGGCCACAGAATTCACACCTCTCGCCCCCGCCCACCCAGGAGGGCAATGCTGACGCCACCCAGCCTTCTAGGAAAGCACTGCAGGCTGAAACCCCACAGGCAACATCAACAATTTTCCCAGCGTCCTGGGGATGTCCCAGAGAAATGCCTTTTCCAAATGGGAAACCTTTAGGACGCCCTGCTGAGCATGGTTCTCTTGCTGGAGAGCACTCAGAGTAGCACCTCGGCACCTGGCCCAGCGTGGAAGGCGCTGGGATGGTGGGGGCCACAGAGGACACCTGCAGATGTCCCCGGGATGTGACGTCGATCATCCAGCAGCATCTGTCCCTACGGGGCTCCTGCCGGCCTCCATCTGAGGGAAGGTGGGAGCCAGCGCTGTGGGAGAGTGGGCAGTGAGGGCCACACAGCAGGTGGGGCTCAGCTTCCTCCTCTCCCCACAGGTTGGGGGGCTCACCTGTGACTGGGTCCGCTGCATTCCTGGGGAGGCTGTAGGCACCAGTGTGTTACCTGGGCTTGATTTCCAGTGACCTCTTGTGTCCATCCCCAATCTGGACACCAAGCTGTGATATTCCTTTCCCCTGCAAGTGAGTGAGGCCCCAAGACATGCTGCAGAGTATGCAGGTCTGGAGGCAGCCCTGCAGCCTCGGCTCCAGGGAGCAAAGCCCGGGGCTCCTCGGTCCTGGTGCTCATGGCAGAAGCCTGTGGCACGGGGGACACTGGGACATTTGCTCTGGAGTAGGACCAGCGAGGGCAGGGTTCTCAGCCAGGACGGAGGAGTAAAGGGGGTGTCCCCGAGGCCCAAGGAAGCCGTGTCCCCAAGGCCCGAGGGACCAGAGGGGGAATGGGCTGAGGGCCAGTTCAGGGTGGGAGTGGCTGCGAAGATGATGGGGCAGACTGCGTGTCTCCTACCCAAGGACATAGCTCTGCTCTGAGCGGCAGCCCGTGCCTCCAGGGACCTCTGTGCACTGAGCGTAGTGTTGGTGGTCTCCTGGTGTCCTCCTCACAAACTCCAGCCGCCTGTTCCACGAACCACAGGGTCCTCCCCTTGACCAGAGTCCTGCCAGGACCCAGACGGGGCCATGGGGGCCAGTGGCCGCTGCTGCCCGTGGTTGTCTGCGGTCTCCGTAGACAGAGGCTTCCCAGGTCCCTGTGGCATTCCAGTTTTAACACGTGCGTGTGTCCTGATGACTCGAGCACTCGGCTCCTGGGGCTGTCCTCACCCCCGGTGCAGTGCGCGCCCCTGGGCTGTCAGAGCTCTCGCACAGCTGTTGGTCATGGTGCGGGAAGTGGGACTTTCCAAACAGTCCGTCTGATGGCTGTCGGCTCTGTGATCTCTTCAGTTCCTTCAGTCCTCAGCGAGTGTGTTCTGTGTCGGGGGGCCACATTCCGTCTTGTCTTATCCTAGTTCTGTGGTGCACTTTCCACGTGCTGCTGTCTCCCTCCCAGCAGATGTGGCAATGGTTCCGGGTGCTTTCCTGCCGCCTCCCTAGCGTTTACCCCGAATGCGTCTTCGTCCTGCTGCTTGTGGATGGTATGTTTTCTCCTGTAATAAACATCTGTTCTGACCCATTCACTGGGTCCCGCTCAGCTCCCTGCAGTTTGGGGGTGTAGTCGGGACGCCCCAGGGCCTGCAGAGCCAGGGATCCAACTGGTCACTGCCTCCAGATGCGTCTCTTGGGGGCTGCCTCACATTAACCAAACTTGTAAGAGAACGATATAAACCAAAAGGAATCTGCTGACTCAGGATGAGAGTGAGCCCTCATGGGACAAAATACTATGTCCCTCCAGGGACACGGCCTTCCTGGCCCCAGATTCTGGAAAACTAGGGGTTCCTTGGCTGCTGATGCCTGTAGTCATAACCCTGGAGGGGATGTGGGAGGCCCCTCGCCTGCTGCCCTGCGTTCTGAAGAGCCCGGGTCGGCCCACCCTCCCATACCCTTGCTTACTTTGCCTTCCACAGAAGGAGAGAAGCTGCATGATCAGGGACAAGTGAAGGACTCCGTGACCGTGTGGTGAGACAGGATGAGAGCTGGGAAATGGGCAGAAGCCAGCCTGGAACCGCCCATTCCTGCTGAGGATTAGTGCGGCCATCTGCTGCAGTGGCCTCACTCACCCCACACTGCAGGCTTCTAGCCCTGCAGGTTCTGTAGGAATCCCCCGCTGCTCCCCTCTGCCTGACTAATGCCAGGCCCAGGGCCAGTACTGGGAACAGGATAGCTCCCTGACTCAGTGGAGCTCCCATTCTAGCGTGTGGGAGAGAGCAGACGCCAAACTGGCAACACACCCCGAGGGCACTCCTGCCCCCCAGAAGGGGATGTGGTAATACCTGGAGACATTTTTGCTTGTCACAACCGAGGGGAGGCGCTACTGACATCTGGTTGGTGGGAGCGGGGAAGCTGCTCAGTGCCCTGCAGAGCACAGGATGCCTGGTGGCAAAGGACCCGGCCAAGGATGGAGCTCCAGGTTAGCCCCAGAGTCAGGTGATGGGCGGGCGAGACGCACGGGCAGGACAGAGAAGAGTAGAGCTGTTGGCGAGGGGGAGGCCAGGCAGCTCTGCGGGAACCCAGACACTTGACAGGAGGCCTGTGGAGGCTGAGGAGCCTGGCGGCACCGCGGGGCCGGGCCAGGTCCCCTGAAAGTGGGACAGAGGCAGGCGGGACACGTGATTGGCTAGGAGTCGCCACAGCCCCACCCTCAAAGGAAACAGGAGGGTGCCCGACGCCACTGAAGCTAAACCAGAGAGCCACACACAGGCCAGCAAGGAGAGGGTGAGGGACAGACTGAGAAGGGGAACTGGGAGAGGCGAGCCCCCAGCCACCTCTGTGCATCGTGGGCCACATGTCCAAAACAGAACTTGGCTTGTGGCCATTGCCCCATCTCAGAAAGCAGGCCACCAGCCACAAGTCACCAGCTTGAACCGCGAGTCGTCGTGCCCCACATTCCAGTGAACGGCGGGTGTTCCTGCTGTTTGGTCCCCAACACGGGCCTACCCAGCCCACTCTCTATCTAAACCACCTGTCTCCTCCTGCCTCCCTGTGGTCCCAAACTCATCTTAAAATGCACATCAGGGGGTGCCTGGGTGGCTCAGTCAGTTAAGTGTCTGCCTTCGGCTCAGGTCATGATCTCAGGATCCTGGGATTGAGCCCAGGTCGGGCTCCCTGCTCAGTGGGGAGTCTGCTTCTCCCTCTCCCTCTGATCCTCCTCCCTGCCTGTGCTCTCTCTCTCTCTCTATCAAATAAATAAATAAAAATCTTAAAAAAAAAAAAAAAAAGCACATCAGATCTCACTCCCCTGCTCAGGACCTTCAGTGGCTCCTGGTGCACTTAAAATCCAGGCTCCTAATCATGCCTTCAAGACTGCTCGCCCACCTCGTTCCATTCTCCCTTGGCTCACCACACTCTCAGCTTGCCTGGCCTCTTCCAAACCCTTGGCAATGCTCATGCCGCAGGACCTTGGCACATGCTCTTCCTTCTGCTTTGAAGACTCTTACCTCTAGCTTTTGTGCGACTAGCTTGCCCTACTCTCTGCCTCCCTGTCCTCTGATGTCACTGCCTTAGCGAGCCCTCCTTGGACCACAAAGCCCGTGTGCGCTCCCTCCAAGCTCTTACCCCGGCTGTGGTGGGGGTGTGTTGCCAGTTTGGCGTCTGCTCTCTCCCACACGCTAGAATGGGAGCTCCACTGAGTCAGGGAGCTATCCTGTTCCCAGTACTGGCCCTGGGCCTGGCATTAGTCAGGCAGAGGGGAGCAGCGGGGGATTCCTACAGAACCTGCAGGGCTAGAAGCCTGCAGTGTGAGGTGAGTGAGGCCGCTGCGGCAGATGGCCGCACTAATCCTCGGCAGGAATGGGCGGCTCCAGGCTGGCTTCTGCCCGTTTCCCAGCTCTCATCCACACGGTCACGGAGTCCTTCACTTGTCCCTGATCATGCAGCTTCTCTCCTGCCTGGCACCCGCCCTGCAATCAAATGTTGGGATTCTTGGGCTTGGGCTCCCCTCCCTCCGCCCTGGGCATCCCTGCAGCCCGGGGCTCCCTGGCTGGGCGTGGGTCCTGCCTTACTGTCCTCGTGCTGTCCACCTGGCTGGGCTCAGGGCGAGCGTGGGCAAACCAGCCCCTGGACGTCCATCCTGCTGGATTAGTTCACAGAAGCCTATTCCGGCTGTCTGCTCTTCCTAACAAGGAGTGACGCTTACTTCTCTCTTTCTGGGGCTGTAAGAACTAAAAAAGAGACTTCGGATGCACATCAGGAGGAATTCCATGGTAAGGTTTGGGAAATATTGTAACAGCCATTCCTCAGGCCCTAGAGTTTGGGAACAATTTTGGTGGTAGGGCAGTTTAGAGGGGCGTTTGAGACACCCCAAAAAAGAAGAGAATTTGTTCTCAGCTAGCTCGCCAGCGACTGATGGCCGTCCAGCAGAAACACCGCGAGGGAAGAAAGGCGGTACTGACGACGCTTTGGGTGCAACTTTTCAATTGCATCTACAGCCAGCGGCCGAGAACTCGGGGGCGGACTGCGGGGGCCCTGCACCGCCCCGGGCGGAGCAAAGCTGGCGGCCGCCCCGCGCCGCCCCGCGCCGCCCCGCGCCAAAGAGGCGGCGGTCCTCCGGCGCCCAGAGCGTCCCGGAAGTGCGCGCGGGCGGGCTGGGGCGGGGCGCGGGCGCACTTCCGGCCGGCGCGCGGGCGGCCGCCTCCCGCTCGGAAGGTGAGTGGGCGCCGGGCGGCGGCGGCGGCGGCGGCGGCTGCGGGGATGCGCGGCCCGCCCGCGCTCGCGCGTCGTCCCCGCGGGCCCCGCCCTGGCCTCACCCCGCGCCGCCGTGACCTCGGCCGGGGGGCGCGGGTGGGCGCCTCGGGGCGCAGAGGAGGCCTCCGCGGCGTGGCGGGCCGCAGCGGGCGCAGCGGGCGCACCGGCCCCCGGCGAGCGCGGGGTCCGCGTGCGGGGCGCCTCCCCACGCGCCCGGAACCGCGGGGACGCAGCCGGCGCTGTGCCCACTTTACAGGTGGGACACGGAGGCTCAGAGAAGTCCGCGGCCGGGGGCGTGAGCGCCGGACCTCGGCCGGGCAGGCTGCGCCCTGTCGCCCAGCGCCCCGAGATCGGGCCGTTCCCCGCGGGGCTCAGGCTCCAGGCCGGGAGGAGAGGGGGCGGGAAGGTCTGCTCCTGGCCGCGGCGTCTCCGTCCCCTTCGCCGGCAGCCGTTTGCAGCAGTGTGGGCGTGGAGCCTGCGCTCGGATCTCGTGCCGGAGGCCCGGTGGGCGGCCGTGTGCGCGCGCTACCTGTGCAACCAGGGTGGGGGAATGTGCCCCTTCCCTGATAAGTCCCGGGAAGCGAACCGGGTAACTTGAGCTGAGACTAGGAGGTTGAGGGCCCGCACCCAGACGTCATGACTGCAGCCCCACCCTGCGTCCAGTTGTGTCCACTTCCCCGAGTGTCCGTGACCCTTCCCATCATTAGGGAATGCGGTGTGCCGAGATGGCCCAGGCGCTGGCGAGGAGCCCTGTGGAGGCTGCCTCCCCACCTGGAAGCAGATACTGTTGGCAACCATTGCTTAATGTACTTTAACTTTTGTCCTTCCTGCGTCCTCTTCTTCACACCCTAATGAGGAATCCTGCTTCACCACAGTGTAAAAGAAAAATCCTTCTCACACTGCATCAGATCATGCTTGCAAACCAAATTAAAGCCAGATACCTTCGACCCCAGAGGAGGCTCAGAGTACTGTGGGCCGCTCATACGGTTTCTGGCCCGCAGCTTCCAGGGCTCTGCAGGGTCAGAGGAAGGCGGTTTTCCTCTCAGGAATTGTCTTTTTAAGATTTAATCTAGAACGTTCATGCTCCAGCAGGCATAGTGCGGTTTCTCACCCTTCTCCAGGGCCAGCAGCCCCCAGCTGTGCTGCAGGAGGTTCTTCAGGGAGATCCCACCTGCTTTAGGATCTGGGTTGGGAGAACGTTCCAGACCAGACCGTTGCTCAGATGAGCGCTTGGACTTGGTCCCTGTGGGTGTGCTGGTGCTGTCCACGTGGCGGAATAAACATACCAGGGGCCCAGCTGCTCTCACTCCAAGCCCCACATGCCCCCCCCCTCCGGCGAAGGAGCCCCCAGCTCCCCTGTGGCTGACCGGCAGCTGGCATTGCCCCCGCCCTCCACTCATCCCTCTGAACCCCTCATCCTGCCATGGTTTTCATTTCCCCAGGTCCCAGGTGTGCATACCTTCAGCAGGCCTTGGGGAAGATGGCGACCCTGGGGGACAGTCAGGAGCCCCCTCGTGTCCCGTCCCCTGTCAATCATGCGTCACCAGGAACACCTGGAACCCACCACCGCGAGGCCCGGCTTCACCTCCACGGTCATCAACACGGTACTCACCCTGCGCTCCCTCCGCCTCCCTGCACCATTCGCCTGGCCCGCACCACCGGTACTGCAGGCTGGAAACAGGGCGGCTCCCTGGGTGCTGGGGCTCCTGCACCCTCACACTTGGGTCGGGACGGGGGAGCCATGGTTGAGGCTGGAGACCAAGCCTTGTGAGCAATGGCTCTCCACAGTCCCGTGGGACTGTGTTTGGGGGTTGGGGAAGAGCAGCCTCAGTGGTAGGGCCCTGTGTCCTCCCATCTCCCTTTATGAGCCTTTGCTCCCACCCCAGGAAAATAGCATCCGGAGTTCTGGGCAGGCTGGTTTGGGTTGGGGCCCCCCGGGACCTGCAGGGATGGAGCTTCCAGCCTGTCCCAGCCTCCTGGCAGGGTCTCAGGATGTCAAAGGCATGGCAGTAGCCCGTGACTGGCAGGGCGCCAGGGGCGGAGAGGTGTCTAAGCCCATGGCATGTGGTGCCCCTGGGTCTTGCTCACAGCCATCAGGAAGTCACAGGGGCTCTGTCCATGCCCCACGTGCCCCAGGAGGCCTGGCCTCGCTCCTCACAGCTGAGGACACGGGTGAGCTGATGACCACCAGGTCAAGGGCCTGGGTGTGTTTCATCTCACCTGTGCTCTAAAGAGCTGGCCCTGGGCTCGGGGTGGGGCTCGCTCTGCGTCCGGGGCTCTCACTCTTGGCAAGCCCCGGCATTACAGGGAGTGACGTGATGATGGCTGAGGTGCGCCCGCTCTGTGCCGAGGGCTCTGTGCGGGCTGTCTTGAAGCCCGGTGGCCACATTAACAATGAGGACAGTGAGGCCCACAGAGGCCACACACAGCTGGGGAACATGGGATTCACCGCCCAGTTCAGTCCAGGATTGGAACGGGAGCGCCTCCTAGCCGTGCCCTGTGCTGCGCCTGGCTCGGGCATCTCTCCCGGCCCCATGCCCATCACCATGGAGACCAGGCTGGGGGCATGGGGGGCTGTGGAGCTGGGTGCTGCCGGGAAGGAGAACATGCTCTGCAGGCCTTCGCTGGTACATCTGCCTCTCCCTGCAGGGTGGTTTGAGGGCCTCCCCCAGGGCCCCCACCCCCCGTGTCCGCGCCCCCTGTCCCCATGCAGTCAGGATTCCGGGGCCCACTCTGCACCTCCAGTTTCTCATGCCACCTCTCAAAACAGCCTGGCAAGGTAGGGCCTCCTGTCCCCATGTTTCTGACGGGGACATGGAAGCCCAGACGTGAGCCAGTGGAAGCCGGTAGGATTTAGAACACATCAGTGTGACTCAAGCCCGCCTCCCCACACTGGGCCCAGCAAGCTGGGGCCCGTGGCTTCTAACTGGCAGGACGTAGGACTGGGGAGGGGCTGTCCCCAAGACATGCAGACCCAGCCAGTTCTGCTGGATGAGAAGACTGGTGCCCAAGATGCAGGTCCTCCTGCCCAGGCAGAGTGGGGCTGCCCCTGAGCCAGCAAGAGCCCGGAAGGCCGGGCTGGGTCCCCTGAGCCACAGCCAAGTGCGCTCAAGTGCCCAGGGGCCTTGCCCAGTGAGAGGGAGTGTGGGCTGCAGCCAGCAGCTTCAGCACGCTCTGTACTATTCAGAAACGGGGCGGGGGGGGGCGGAGCTGCCTGCAAGGAAAACAACCAAGGTTGATCCTAAAGAAGAGAGGGGCGGGGCCTCCAGCAGGCTCTGAAGGAGGAGGCGTGGCTGGAGGGTGATGGGGCCCAGGGAGGTCCAAGAGGCCAGAGGGAGGAGAGGGGTTGCCTTCGTCCCCTCCTCGTGGAGAGCAGCCCAGCAGAGAGAGCTGGGCCCCATGACCAAGCTGCTGTCCAGGGCAGAGGCTGCCCCTCACGGTCGACCTCATTTCCTTTGCTGGTGACTTCCTCGGTGCCCTGGGGGCCACACATGCCCTCAGAGGAAAGACCCCAGCATCTCAGGAACCTACCCAGGGCCCTCCAGCCAGTGAGGCCAGGACTTCTGGAGCCCCAGTCTCTCAACTCCCAGACCAGAGTGGGTGGGGTCCGCCCTGCAAAACCTGGGGTCCCTCATGCCCGCCCCAGGGCTGGGTCCCACCAGTCTCCCACATCACCTCACACAAGAGCCAGTTTCTAAATCTCTGGCTGGGCACAATGCTGGAGGGGGGCAGAGGGCGTCCTTGAGCGGGGAGCCATCTGTCCGCTAGAGCGGGTGAAGGGAGCAGCATGGGCACAGGGCACTCGGCCTGGTCCCTGGGGGTGGGGTGGGCATGAAACTGGTGCAAAGAGCTGGCGGCCACTCCTCCCCGAGCCTCCAGAGCAGGGAGTTAGGCGGGTGGGGTGTGGAACAGGGCAGACACTGGGAGCCAGGGCTGTGCTGGGCTGGCCAAGGGGCCTGGCACAAGGCTGTGCCTGCCAAACCACAGGCTTCCAGACTTGTTCTGGAAGGTATGGTCTGGAGCCCTGCAGCTGGAGGGGCAGTCTGTGGGCAGGAGCAGGGGACAAGAAGGACGTGCAGGCCCAGGTACCAGCTGCCCAGAGGTGGGGAGGAGCCGTGTGGCCAGGGCGGCGCTACTCCCCAGCTAGGGACAGGCCTCCCAGATAGGGTGCCTGGCCTCGGCACCTGAGACCTGAACTCTGGCTCTCCCCTGCCCCAACTCTCTTCTCCCCACGTCCACATCCAAGCATGGACTTTCTGTGCCATTTTATAAACAAGGAGCGTCCCTTCCAGCCAGAAAAGTTCCCCCTGCCCTCCTGGCCCCGAACGCCTTCCCCTGTGGTGTCCACGAGAGCCCAGGCCTGGGGCCTCCACTGAGCAGAGCAGGTGCTGTGTCACGGCCTCCCTGGAGGTGCCCAGGGTTGGGGGACACAGCCCAGCCAGGGCTCCGGCCTTCAGAGGTGGTGGTGAGCGGCTGGAGGGCTGGGGGAGGGGACTGTGAAGGTTGCAGCCCAGAAAGGCCCGTGTCCCCAGAACTGCCCCCCACTCCAGAGCAGCCAGGCAGTGCCTAGGGCCCCTCACTCTCCGGGAAGGAGTGTCACGTGGCTGTGCCCATCTCCCTTTGTGGCTCCTGGGGAGCACCGGCCCCCCGGGACCCCCAGGAGGGCAAGGAGGTGTGTCGTGTGAGGAGCAGTGGCATTCTACAGGCAGCTGGGCGAGGCCTGGGCTAGGTTGGAGAGGAGGGGGAGACAAGCCCCCATCCCCCTGTGCCCCCAGACCCCTCTGGCTGCAGCCCTGAGGCGCTCTCCCGGCCACTGCAGGAGGAGCAGCTGTCCGACCTGGATCTCCAAGATGTGGAGGAGGTCCAGATTGGCAGAGACACCTGCTGGCCAGGTGAGTGAGCGGAACCCCCATCCGGTCCCTGCCCGAGTGCACGTGCCCATGGTTGCCACGTGCCGGGCTCTCTGCAGCGCCCACTGCTTCGGGCACCACGCTCCCAGCACACTGCATCTCACTTGTCCCTGCCTCAGTGCTCACTTCTGTCCTCGATGGCCCGGACCCCTTCCCTGAGCCCCAGAGCTGTAGCCAGTCAGCATCTCCCACTCAGCAGCAGTCCGCCACCAGGCCAGCAGCCAGGGAGTTATCCTGGTCCCCTCCTCCCCACCGTGTAGTGCGGTGGGCCTCCACTAGTCCCCTAAATTAAGCTCTGGTCCCCATCCCCTTCTCCCCACAGCCTGGCTGGGGCCCCACTAATTCCGGCCCTCAGCCCCTGGCCACATCCCCCGCCCCATGGAAGCCCTTGGGATGCCCCCGTGGGGCCTCTGTCCCCCCTTGCTGGGAAGTCCTGGAGGTGTCAGGAGCTTCACAGGGGGGCAGGCCCGGAGACAGTTGCCACCTAGACTCCATCTGGTTCCTGGCACTGCCGCAGCGGGGCGGCCACATCCCTGCCAGGAGCCTGGGCAGCACCCGACGCAGGGGGCTCTGCCACTGGGCTCTGGGGCTCAATCCCTGGGGGCGTTGTCCCCCAGGTCTGCCCTCACCCTGGCCCCCAGCCCTGCCGCGCTCCGTGCTGGCGCTCTCAGCTAGATCGGCAGAGCCGGGGTCCGGCGGAGGGGGAGGCCGATGCCGGGGTGGGTGCCATCTGCCCCTCCACGTCTCCTTTCAGACTCGGAGGCAGAGCCCGGGCAGGCTCCGTCGTCTCCCCACCCCCGCCATCCCGAAGACGAGGTGGACCCGGCCGGGGGGGCACTGAGGACCCTCCCCCGCAGACCCGGGTGTGGGGACCGCTTTGGGCAGGAGTCCGGCTCGGAGCGGCCCACGGGCCAGCTGGCGGGCCCGTGGCGCCTGACGCTGCTGCCCCAGGGAGCCTCGGGGCCGGCGGGGGAGCCCGGGCGGGCCGGCGAGCCGGAGGGCGGCCGGGCGGCGGGGCCCGGGGCCCGGCAGGGTGGCCCGCGCGGCGGGAAGCCGCACCGCTGTGAGGCCTGCGGCAAGAGCTTCAGGTACAAGTCGCTCCTGCTCAAGCACCAGCGCATCCACACGGGCGAGAAGCCGTACGCGTGCCACGAGTGCGGGAAGCGCTTCCGCGGCTGGTCGGGCTTCATCCAGCACCACCGCATCCACACGGGCGAGAAGCCGTACGAGTGCGCCCAGTGCGGCCGCGCCTTCAGCCACAGCTCGCACTTCACGCAGCACCTGCGCGTCCACAACGGCGAGAAGCCGTACGCGTGCGGCGAGTGCGGCCAGGCCTTCAGCCAGAGCTCCAACCTGGTGCGGCACCAGCGGCTGCACACGGGCGAGAAGCCCTACGCCTGCAGCCAGTGCGGCAAGGCCTTCATCTGGAGCTCCGTGCTCATCGAGCACCAGCGCATCCACACCGGCGAGAAGCCCTACGAGTGCGGCGAGTGCGGCAAGGCCTTCCGCGGCCGCTCCCACTTCTTCCGCCACCTGCGGACCCACACGGGCGAGAAGCCCTTCGCCTGCGGCGCGTGCGGCAAGGCCTTCGGCCAGAGCTCCCAGCTCATTCAGCACCAGAGGGTCCACTACCGGGAGTAGCGGGCGGCAGGCCGGGGCGGGAGGGACCAGGGGGAGGTTGCGGGGAGAGGGCTCCTGCCTCCCCTCTTCCTGATCCGCGCGCAGCGAGCCCCGCACGCCCAGTGGCCCAAATAAATTCTTTTTAACGGATGGACATGGGGGTCGCTCCTGCCTGTCCCTGGAGAGGCGTGGCTGGCGTTTGGTCTCGGGGGACCACTGCCGCGGGCCTGACGCCTGGAGGCCTCCTCACTGAGCCTGGAGCCATAGCTGCGTGTTTCCAGGCGTCGGGAGCCCAAGCGGCACAGGTGAGGTCGGGGGGTGGCTGGCCGAGGCAAGGTGCCTCCTGTCCGTTACCCTGAGCCGTATGCGGAATGGCCCAGGCCTTGCAGCTGCCTCCAGCCCCGGGAAGAGGGGGGCCCAGGATGTTCGCCCCCTCACAGGCCTAGAGCTCTGCGGCTGTGGCCAGGCCTTGGCTTTGGCCTTCTCAGACCTGTCTTGTAGCTCGCAGATTTCCAGCCCGAGGTACAGGAAAGAGCTCAGCTGGGTGGGGAAGCAGGCGCCTTCCCTGTCCCACCTGCTCCCTCCGGAACACTTCGGGACCCCACCCCCACCCCACATTGAGGAGCTGCCCGGCCCCTCCCTTGGCTGCAGCTCCGAGCCTCACTTCCCCAGGTCCAAGCCCCACGGCATGTAGCTGGGCGGCCTCACCTCTCCGGGCCACACTCCCAGGGCCTCGTGGCCATCAAGCACTTTGGACTCCCTTGCCATGCGCCCCCCCCCCCCCGCCCTCAGGGGGAGAGCAGCTGTAGGGGAGAGGAGTAGAAGTCAGGCAGTCTCTGGACATCAGCTTCGGGGCTCAGGGCACCTCCTTAGTCGCCTCTGCTGGTGCGCTGTGGCCTGAAAGAGGAGGGAAAGCCACCTTCTCCCAACTCTTGTCTCCCCCTAACACCGCGGGGGTAATGTGGGGCCTCGGCGCTCCAGCAGCCTGCACGCACAGCCCCCGGGGCTTCACGGGGAGCGGGGTGGCAGCTGTGCGCTGGAGGGTCATCCTGCCACCTCTGCGTGGAGGCTGCACTCGGATGCCAGCACCGAGACCAGACCTGGCAGGCGGCCACCAGGAGCAGAGCCTGGAGGTCCTCCACACCGCCCCGGACTGTCCCACAGACCCCTGTGCCCCACGTACGTGTCTACAAGGACTGGGTGGGGCGGGGCCTGCACTGGTCCGACCCTGCCTTTTTGTTCTGTTCAGCCCTTCAACTGACAAGGAGAGGGTGGCCCGTTTCACTCAGTCTGCTAATTGAAATGTTCATCTCATCCAGAAACGGCTGCACAGACAAACCCAGACTAATGTTTGACCAAATAGCTAAGCACCCCATGGCTTAGTCAAGTTGACACGTACAATTCACCACCACAAGGATAAGAATTGTACTGCCATCGGGCTGGCCTAATTCCTCCTGCTACAGATGGTGCTCTCACACGCACAGGACCAGCGGAGCACAGGCCAGAGTCGGAGGTTAACAAGTAGGAGTTCCGAACCCACGCGGCCTACCATCCGGAAAACAATTACACCCTTTCCCATGATAATTTATTACGTTTGTGCATTCCTGTCTCATCCACTCAGTAAACCTTTTTTTTGTTTGTTTGTTTATTTGATGGGCACCTGGGTGGCTCAGTTGGTTAAGTGACTGCCTTCGGCTCAGGTCATGATCCTGGAGTCCCAGGATCGAGTCCAGCATCGGGCTCCCTGCTCGGCAGGGAGTCTGCTTCTCCCTCTGACCCTCCCCCCTCTCATGTGCTCTTTCTCTCATTCTCTCTCTCTCAAATAAAATTTAAAAAAAAAGATTTTGTTTATTTGAGAGAGTGAGAGTGAGCACAAGCAGGGGGAGAGGCAGATGCAGAGGGACAAGCAGGCTCCCCACTGAGCAGGGAGCCCCATGCCGGGCTCTATCCCAGGACCCCCAGATTATGACCTGAGCCGAAGGCAGATGCTTCACCGCTTGAGCTACCCAGGCGCCCCTCAGTAAGCCTTTTTTTTTTAAAGATTTTATTTATTTATTTGAGAGATAATGAGATAGCATGAGAGGGGGGAGGGTCAGAGGGAGAAGCAGGCACCCTGCCGAGCAGGGAGCCCGATGCGGGACTCGACCCCGGGACTCCAGGATCATGACCTGGGCCGAAGGCAGTCGCTCAACCAACTGAGCCACCCAGGCGCCCCTCAGTAAGCCTTTCTTGAGCATCTGCACTGTGCTGGGCGTCCCCACCTAGGAGATGGCATTCCACACAGCAAGTCTCATCCAACTCTGTCCTCAGCGTGCAGCCGGCTGGTGGCTCTGCGCATCTGCAGCACGACTGAACAGTCACTAGGAGTCACCCAAGTGTATCAGTGATCAATCCCCCCGCTTTATCTTTTGAACCCAAGGTTGTCCACTAAACCAGATCTGGCAGGGTTTTCCCAACGCTAGTGAAAACCAGCCAAACTTTTCTTCTCAGAGACCCCTGCGTAGGAGTGTCTCTGACTGGGATCTCTGCGGAGGGGTGAATCCGGGCGGGGGTCTCGGGGCTGGAGGACGGCCGGGCTGGGCCCGGGCCCTGCGGAGGGGTGAATCCGGGCGGGGGTCTCGGGGCTGGAGGACGGCCGGGCTGGGCCCGGGCCCTGCGGAGGGGTGAATCCGGGCGGGGGTCTCGGGGCTGGAGGACGGCCGGGCTGGGCCCGGGCCCTGCGGAGGGGTGAATCCGGGCGGGGGTCTCGGGGCTGGAGGACGGCCGGGCTGGACCCCACCCTGCGCGACGAAGCTTTGCACGCTGAAAAAACCGGCAGCGGGTCGGACGGCGGCGGAGGGGAGAGGGTCCCGGGGCCGCCAGGCTGGAAGTGCCGCGGAGGGAGCAGGTCCCACCCTCCCCGCAGCGCCGCCCGCTCTGTCTGGCGCCCCTAGCGGCGGGGCCTCGCATGGCGGCACCGGCCGGGGAAGCGGGTCTGCGGGACCCGCCTGGGAGTGGCGGGCGGCGGGGGGCAGAGGCAGGCCGGCCTGGGAGCGCGGGAGGAGGTGAGGGATAAAATTTAAGTCTGGTGGCACTTGCATTGGGTGTTATTCACGAGATAAATGCTAAAGGCCACAATTTACTCAGTGTTCGGATAGAGGGCCTCAAGCGAGATTTTGCTGGAAATCCTCACCCACACGCAGCCAGCACTTCAGAAGTCACGCGGGTGTTTGTGAGCCTCAGACAGGCGGCCACAGGTGCAGACCGGCCCTCAGTCAGGGCTGGAAACCGCAGTGCGCTCAGAGACACGCTAGGTGTGGCGTCCGGGGCCGGCAGGCGGCAGCTCTACACGCTGGAGTCTGGGGGCCGAAGACCTCAAGAACGCCATAAACGAGCGAGGGGTTAAGCGCGAGCTCAGGCTAGGTCCAACAGCAGAGGGTTCGCGCTGGAAAGAAGCCAGCGAGTGGACTAGACACGGCGAAGCCTTTGGTAGAGGGTCAGGCTGTCGGGGGATCAGAGTTCACGAGGAGAGAGAGCTTCTGAATGCAGTGAATGTGGAGAAGCATGCTGGCTCGTAGCGGAGTCAGGGAGGGGACCGCGGATGCAGGGCTCGTGGACAGGCATCGGTGGTCTGCACTAGAGAGAGCCTTGTCACCGTCGCCATGCAGGATATAACCATCAGTGAACACTTTTAGCATCTGGGAAATATCGGTGAGAGGACCCGCACCCACCCCGCAGCGAAGGGTCACAGCAAAGCCTTCAGGCAAAGATCCCATGCCCCCAAACACCAGCACCATCACCAGGGAAGCAGCAGGAGGTGAAACGCTCCTTCTCTCATGTTCACCGACGCCACGCCAGGGCGCTAGCTCCAAGGGGCTGTGTGCCTCACCCCCATGCTGAGTCCAGCCACCCTTGGTCGCAAGAAGCGGAGAGCTGTCTCCTGTCGCCGCTACAGGCCCCATCAAGAAGCCCAGGAGAGGAGGCTTCTCTACAGTCTTTTCAGACAGTGGATACATTTCAACCATTTTTCCCAGCCTTGCCCTCCCTTTTGTTCAAGCTGTATCTCCTCCTGGGAGTGGCTTCACAGCCCCCCGTCTTGGCGTTGGAGGTCAGTGAATTCTTAGGAGGCACTGGCCTCCCATAAGACCCCTTGCCTTGCATATTCTAAGATCTTATTTCACGGGGTGTGAGCACCCACTGAGGGGCCACGCGGTTACATCACCTGGGGAACCCGCTGGAAAACACAGCTTCCCAGCCCATCCCCGGGGAGACAGACGACGTAGGCTTCGGGTAAAGCAGGGAATCTGGGTTTATTTCCAATACGCCCAGTGACAGTGACAGCGCTCCAGGTTGGGAACCTCTGGTCTCACCCGCCCTCAAAGGAGGAGCACCTGCGCGGGCAGGCTCAGCTCCCACTCCACCTGGCCAGGCCACTGCTGGCCAGGCCGCTCTGGCACGTCCCGCTGTTCCAGGCCAGGGCTCTCTTCTAAGCCCTCGACTCCTTCAGCGGCCGCAGGGTTCTTGGAGTGGCCGTAGCGGTGCACGGCGATGCCCGCACCCCAGTCCGAGTCCAGGCTGCAGCGAGGACGGCCTCCGTGGGCCTTGCCTGCTGCCCTCCGCCATTCCTCCCCTGGACCACTCCAACCACCCACAGACCAGGGGGTCTTCTCGAGTCAGACGCTGGGTGGGGTCCCTCGCTTGCTTGCCAAAGCCCTTACTACGGCCTTCAGCGCCCGACAGGCCAGGTCCCCTTGCTCATCCCCTTCCGGTCTGCGCCTCCCCGACCACTTGTCGGAGGCTCCGTCGCTCCGCGCAACCGCGCACCTCGGACAGCTCCAGGCACGCGCGCCCGCCCTCAGGCTCTCCGGCGCCCCCGCGCGGGCCCCCCTCCCCCCGAAGAGTCCTCCGAGCTTCCTAGAGCGCCCGGAAGTGCCGGCGGCGCGGGGCGGGACTTCCTGTGGGCGGGGCGCGCGCCTGCGGCTCCGCGGTCGGAGTGCGGCGGGCGGCGGGGGCCGGGCTGCGCGGCGTCCTTGGGCCTTCCGCCCGCCGTCGCCGTCCGATACCGCCGAGCCGGGCCGGCCGGAGCTGCGGGAGGGAGCCGCGGAGGGGCGTCAGGGGCCAAGTTAGGCAGCTGCAGCGCGGGGCGGGCCGGTGCCCAGTCGTGAAACCCCGTGG